ATTAAGAAGTGAGCATTCTGTCCCCGGAAGTATTCAAGGGGAGCTTGGACAGACACTTAGCTGACAGGGGGTAAAGAAGGGTCATCACAATGTGCTTGCCAAGGGATTGCTGGCCCACCCAACACTTGCATCCAGCATCTGATTTGAGCCTGGCTGTAATCCTGTCCCGTTGGCAGAACCTGGGCCTTGTTATTTCCACTCACACATGAGGGGACCGGCTGAGAGAGGCTGGAAGGCTGCTTAAAACGCTTACACCTACAGGAGAGGTAGAGCCTTGCTTCAAAGCCATGTTTTCTGGGTTTAAGGTCAATGTTCTTCTGGATTGCCCGTTACAGAACGATTTGTAAAGCTACCGTTTGGGGGCGGTGTGTGCAGGGTTAGGTTTAGACCTGCCTGTATTAGAATCCCAGCTCTGTGCGGTCCTGGGCATGGTCTTTGAAGTTTCTGAGCTACAGTTTGCTTATCAGCAACACAGGGACCATCAACAGAACCTCAGCCCGCCGTTGGTGGGAGACCTCACTGAAATAAAGCCGGGGAAAGTGCGCGTGGCTGGAACATCAGAAATGCTCCGTAGAAGTGGTTATTGTTCTTACAGAAAGTGAAAGCTTAACATGTATCATCCCATCTAAAGCCTCACAGCTGCCCTCTGTGCCCCTAAGGAAGACTGTTGCTATGGGCACAATACTTTTCACATGATAATTCATACCCAATTTTAATAACGACGGGTGTGATTTTACATGTGAGGAAACTAAGACTCAAAGAGACAAAAGTAATTTGTCCTGAGTCACCCAGTAGACATGGGAGTTGAATTCGGGTCTGCCAGATTCCAAAGCCCATGTTCTTAACAGCCATGTGACACTGCCTCCTGATTCCTGACTCAACTAAGATTCCACCCACGATAGCCTGGCCCGGGCAAGCCTGGGGTCCGTCCCTCGCTACCGGGCTGGACCGCAGTGCAGGGCAGGGCTCTGCTGGCCCTAGCGCGGGCCGGCTCCCGAGATGCCTCACGGGGGTGGGGGTAGGAGCTGAGCTGCTCGCCGAGGCTGGTGGGAGATTCCTGGGGCACCTTTTCTGGCCTGATGGACAGTGGCAGCCAGGGTGAAATAGAAATTGGGAGATCAAGAAGAGGCAAGAAGAAAAGGGAGGAAAGGGGGAGCCAGGTTGGGTAGCCCTGCTGAGAGAGGGGTGAATGTGAGACCTGGTAAATTCATAGGCTTCACCCGACATCATAGTGAGCCCATCAGACTCCTCCCACATCCTGCCGTCAGTGTAATTTGTGTCGGACTTGAGCTGCTGCTGACTAGCTAACGTCCTGTTCTATTTTGTAGACAGGTGATGAAGCGTCTGTTGCTTTTAGCTTTGCAGGTTTCTTTCTGTATTTTGCAGTTAATAATTTTTTTTTCGGGTTTCAAATATCTTTATAACCTGGAAAAGCTGGTAGGTGGTGGACACCATGCCCATGGTGCCGATGGATAAAATGTCCTAGCAGCTGTGAACTTCAGAGCTCTGCCAATTGTGATCAGCTTTTTTGCAATGCCCCGCTGGGCACACAAGCTCTCTGGCCCTGTCCCTTCCATCATCCCCCCTTGTCTCCCAAGCTGGGGAGGCCGGGTGCAGCAGCATGGAGCCCAGCGGCCTGGGGGACTCTGATGTGTGGGCCGTGCCTGTAGCCAGGCCGGTGGTCTGACCCAGCTCAGGAAACCATCTCTAGCTTTGGTATTTCTTCATGGGTCACTAGGGCAGTGCTGTGATGTCAGAATTATTGGCATTCCCTTGGAGTTTCTCCCCCAGACCTCCAAGGAATTTCTTTTGAAAGGAGGGGTGTGTGAAATGACTCTGGGAAGAAAAGTTGCGTGTTTCATCTTGTTCCCGTCAAAGTTCTCATCTCACAGACGCAGGGAAACACAGTTGAGAATGCCCAGGGCTTAAAGCCTTTTCCGCTGTCTATCCCCTTGCCCCTGAGACTGTTCTTCTCCCACCTTCCAGGACGGTGACCCCTTGTCCCTCTCCTAAGGAGCAGACCCGTCACTGCCCTGGGCTGTGCTGCCTGGCACCTCCCATCACTGAGACTAGCTCTCCTTCACAATTTGCTTCAATCCCACTGGCTTTCATTTAAGCTTTTCTCCCGTGAGAAACAGAACAATTGCTTAATGGACATCTAGACCCACTTCTCAAACTGAGGTGCTTGCAGATACAATCTAAAAAATATATATATGTATGTATGTATATATATGTATTTCTAATTATAGAGACTAAAATTTTGCCATGAAACTCACAATTAAAAGACATTTCTATGGAATAAGTAGGTATATTGCGGTGCTGCCCATGGGGACCACTGGTGTTGGGAGTCTGCGGACATACTCTTGGAGTCTTGCAAGGAGCGTTTCCTTTATAAAGGAGTTGTATACATTACCCACCTTTGAAAAATACCCATTTCTAGACTGTTGTTCTCAAATGCCATTCTCAGCCACTACCAGCTCTTGAGGAAGTTTGAGTTGGTCCATAATGAAGTGAAAAAGAGTGATGTTACTTGATGTATCCACATGCTATGTACCTAAAATACGTGTGAGCCGAGGTCTAGGAAGCACTGAACGAGCCCTGCCCTCTGACCTCATCGTGCAAAAGGGGTGATGCAGGACCAGGGAGGATGAGGCCAGTGTCGTTGGAACTAGGACCACAGCGAGCAGGGGGTTGTCAGGTGAATTTCTCAGGCTCTGAGGGGCTGTGATGGTTGATGCACTGGTCTGAGCTGACCCCTGGTGGCCAGAGAGGGCGCCAGGCTGCAGAAACCCCCCCGCAAAGTACCTGCACACAGTAACTGCTTATGATTAACAATCAGAGTAGCCACATTTATGCGTGCTTATCACGTGCTGGGCCCTCTGCTAAGAACTTTCTGTGTAAGCTCACCCCAGCCCCGTGGTGTAGATCTCCTCCATCCCATTTCACCAGTAAGTCTCAGAAAAGCTGCGTGACCTACCAGGGGCACCCAGATAGTGGGTGGTGGAACAGGGAGCCCGGATATAAATCCTGGCAGTTGGACCGTGACACCCCATGCTTGTGACCGCTAAGCTGCGTTGCCACCTGGCCGTATTAGTGAGTGACCAAATAAATGATTAAAGTGAAGTGATGGGAGGGTTTGGGGGTTACTGGAGAGAAACTTCCCTTCCTAGAGCCTCAGGTCATCTCTGAAGGCCTCCAGAACCAGGGAGCATCGTTCTCGTGGTGGGTGGGATCCTCTGGGACTTCCCTTGTCAGGAAGTCCTCCCTCGGGTCGAGATGAGAGCTGCCTCACTAGGACCACTGCCCCTGGGTCCTGTTCCAGGGCCGTGTGGGCCTGCAGAGCCGCCCGACGGAGCGGTTGTCACCTCCTAGGTCCATCCCCGCAGAGGGCTCAGCAGTGTTGATTTTAGCCGTTCTTGTCATCCACGCATGTGCAGTGATAAGCCCTTGACCGTCCACCATTTCACTCTTTGCCCATGTGCCCTTTGCTCTTCAGTGGCCCTAAGTGGGCTGAGTGGTTCTGTTCCCCCTGAGACCCGGTACCTCTGCCCGGTCTGAGTGGGCATCTCCCCCTCCCGCAGCTGTCCCAGGCTGCGGGCTTGTCTTGACAACGTTAAGGCCTCAGTGGGGGAGGCTGGGGCCAGGTGACTAGAGCGGGG